ATATTCGTTGTGTTGTTTAACTTAGGATACAATTTAGTAGAGTTTATATTAAATTTTGATATATTTTATGGTGACTTTTCAAGATACGAACCCACCTCAAAGGTAGTAAAGCTCTACAGACATTATTTCATTATATATCCAGTTTATAATTTATTGCATTTATGACAGGGTGGTCCAAATTGTATTTCTGGAAACTTCGGCAGCATATTCTGCAGATAAAAATAAGTAAAAAGGTTCGTATAAATTCATGGCCTAAAATACTTCGATTTGGAGATACAGGGTGTAGAAGTTTGGTTTGGTTTGGTTTTTTACACGAAAAAAAAAATTTTGGAAATTTTTTTAGTTTTTAGTTAAAAAACATATTTTCTTGATAATACGGCAACATACGTAGTAGATTAAATTTACAAGAAAGGAAATCCAGAAAAGATCCAGCGGTTCTCAAAATTTTAGCAAAAAATATTTTTTTTTTAGAAATTTTCAAAGTAAAATAACTCCGTTATTTTGGACTTATTTGAAAAACGATAAAGAAAAAATATGTTTCTTTTATCGAGATCTACCATCCCTTAAAATACTTGTACTTTTTTCTGGGGCACCCTGTATACAGGGTGCTACAAATTCGAGGTACGAGCATTGGTATCTCGGTAACCGTAATAGATACGAACATAGTTAAATTGGGACAAAGTTGCCGTATTGGGATGTTCACCAAGATGCCATCAAAAAAGTTTTAAAAATTTTAAGGATTGCTGAGTTTTTTGGATAAACTGATTTTTTTGAAAATCAATTTTATTTTTTCCTGTCGTTAATTTTTAGAAAATTAAAAAATTAATTGCACATTCTCATAGCCACTTTATTAGGGCTATCTGGTAGTATTTTTAGATTTTTAAATTAGCTGATAATTTGTGAGATACAGAGGCCAACTTAATTTTTTTAAATACGGACCTGCATTTTTTATTTCAGGTTTTGAAAGGACTCGGTCTCCTGAATACAACGATATGCCACACTTTATACTTTTTTTGTTTTGGATACTTTAACAGCAACAAAACTTTTTAATTATTATTTAAAAAAAGTCCGTCTCTGGTGTCTTAAATTATTTAATCTGATTATATTCATCGCAAAAATAATGATCAGCGCTAATTAACATTGAATAAGGAAAATCGAGCCAATTGGAAGATTTAGATAAATAATATCCAGATCAGAAATTTAAAGTTATTATTTTTAACTTTTTTTATTGTGAATTGGAAATCTTACTGTGCGATCTAATAATATGCATAATATTAATCGTAGTTATTATAAATAAATCAACTTCTACAAACTAGTTTCTAATGTTCTACATGTTCGAAAGGGTTACCACCCTCCCTATTGCACAAATTAATTTGTCGCTCAATTTTATTTATAGCTCTTTGAACTTTCTTCTTATACTTCCAAATGCATTTTGTACTCTTTATTGTAAATGTTGAGATGAATTGATTTCACTCTTACAAATGACATCAAATAACGTAGCCCCTTGGCGATAGGTCCAGAAACCTCGCTGGACATTATACTGCTCTACCATTTCCAACCCATCTTCTGGGAAAATGATTTGATTTTTTATATTATATTCAGGGCCGGGTCTACCTAAGGGCTGTTTGGGCTGTAGCCCAGGGCCCCGAGGTTACAAGGGGCCCCCAGACCCCGCTAAAAACAACAGACCCATAGGTGGGAACTGTTGAATCGTGAAATAAAATTAAAATTCACGTTAAAAAGTTTAAGCCAGACCAGATGGTCTTGCCACTATGATGCTGTCAAAGCCTTAAAAAATAATTATGATGACATTATGAAAATTTTCGAAAGTTTCACCGAAAATGAGGTTGAGAAAGTTGATTTCCGGAAAGAGGCACGAAATTTATTCAATAAAATGGCGAAACTCGAGGCTGCAATTTTGATTATCTTTTGGGAAGAAGTTTTGGAGAGATTTCATTTAGTTAATAAAAAAAAATACAGAGCCCTGGTTTAGACATTTGTAAAGGCAACAAGTTAATTCTGTCATTAAAAGACTTTTAGAACAACATACGACACCAATCAGATCAAAAGCTAAAGGAATACGAAGAGAAAGCTAAAAAATTAAGTACTAGTGTGGGAATAGACTACAATGACATAAACAAGAGACGCATTACTCCACAATGTTCAGATAAGTCTACAGGTGAATTCTCAGTATACGGCGCAGAAAGATTTAAAAGAGACACGTTAAACGTTGCGTTGGATAAGCTGATTATGGATTTAAATAAAAGGAGCCAAGTCTATATGAGACTTATAGCAAAAAATTCAAATTTTTAATGGATTTGCAAGACAAAAATATCAAAAACATAGATTTAGAAATTGCTAGTCATATTATCGATTACTATCCCGATGACGTAGACGAGCATTTAGTGAATGAGTGCATTCAATTAAAATCGTACTTACTCCAATCTAAGCCAGAGTCTTACACCTCCTGCAGTGACATTTTATGCTCATGTATGAAAATAAACTTATTGACGTGTTCCCTAACTGCTATACCATTTTAAATTTTTTTTAAACACTGCCAATTACTAGCTGTGAAGCAGAACGCTCCTTCTCCAAGATGTAAAAAATAAATATAGGACAACAATGTCAAACCATCGACTAAATAATTTATCACTTCTTTCCATAAATTGTGATCTAACAAAAGACTTGCAATGTGATGACCAAATAACTGTCAATTTCTGTGACTGCAACCTATCAATTTCTTTTACTAATTCATAATAAATAAATAAAATTGTTTTATTTTTTTTTATTCTTATTATAATATCACTATTTCGGTTTCTCTCTCACCCAAAGATTGCCTGGAAGAGATTGTTACCACAGCAATAAGGTCGCCTTTTGTACAACTAATACTTGCGTAGATTTAAGTAACATTTATGTTTTTTTGTGCAATAAAGAATACATAATAATAATATATCATTATAGAAACAGTTTTTTGACATGGCTATTAGTTAAGCACTTAGGTAGGCCTCTAAGTAGTTTCAGCCCAGGGCCCCACAAATTCACGATCCGCCCCTGATTATATTATATTTATACTAATTATTTTATATTAATTTATTGCATTCGATTTTCCGTACTCAATGTTTTACCCCACGTTATTCTTAAGTTTCAAAGCTTATCAATATTGTAACGATGAAAAGATTAAATATGTAAACTAACACAGCCGGACTTGAAATTAGTTTAAATAAATTGTGTTCAAATATCAATACAAAAAAAAATTAAGTGTGGCATATCATTGTACTGAGGAGACCGAGTTCTTTCAAAACCTGAAATTTAAATGCGTATTTAAAAAAAAAAACAAGTACGCCTCTGTATCTCAAAAATTATCAACTAATTTTAAAATATAAAAATACTATCAGATAGCCCTAATAAAGTGGCTATGAGAACGTGTAATTAGTTTTTTGATTTTCTAAAAAGTAACGACAAGAAAAAATAAAATTGATTTTCAAAAAAATAAGTTTTTTCATAAAAACTCAGCAATCCTTGAAATTTTTGAAACTTTTTTGCTGGCATCTTGGTGAACATCCCAAAGCGCAACTTTGCTCCAATTTAACCATGTTCGTATCTGTTACGGTTAACGAGATACCAGTGCTCGTACCTCGAATTTGTAGGACCCTGTATAGGTAGCGCCCCCCTATAAGTAGGAGTCATTCTAGCGGAAATCGAATTTCTCGTCTCTCTCAAAAAATATCGAGACACCAAATTTTCATCCAAATATGGACGTTAGTAAAATTTATTTAGAAAAAACGCAATAAATATGAAATTTCTACACTTTGTATATCTCCAAAACAAAGCATTTTGGGACATTATTTTATACGAACTTTTTTACTATTTTTATCTGCATCACAATTTGGACCACCCTGTATAATTTTTTTTTAAATTTTTGATATTAGTTAAAATGTCAGTGTGGTGAAAGTTATCTGACTATTTTATAGTTTCACTTTTGCGTTTCTGCAAATAAGTTGTTGCGATTTCTTGTAGGTCCTTTTATTGTGTTTCCAAAATAATGCCATGTCATCCTGCTAGTTTTGTATTTTAGTCTCACAAGAATCGAAAATATTAAAATAAGCTGTTGTCTAAAACGATATTTAATCAAGTTTGCTTTTTGAGCTATTTGAATATTATTATTTTTAAACTAATCGACTATTTGAATAAAAGTAATTATTACATATTTCTAAATGAAGCATGCATTTTTCTGCTTTTCTGTTGTGAGTTTTTTAGGATAATTAGGATACGCACTGACATGTAATTCTTAGTCGGCCGACTATTTAGTTGCAAAAGTGAAAACAATACATTCTTATGGGGCCGATCGGCTCAATATTTGATCACATTATCAATTACAGGCAATTTTTAATCGGCCGACTATTTAGTTGCATATTTGTAATCAATATATCCTTATGGAGCTGCGCTCACAATGCAATCAAATAGTCGGCCGACTAAAAATTACAGGTCAGCGCGTAGGCTTATTGTGTCGAATTTCTCTTCACAGTATCCATACTATTTCAAATCGTAAGTCAGGGATGTGTCATCAAAGTGTCTTGTTTTTGAAATTAATATTTTTTTTACAATCGCATATTGTTTTGAGTAGTTTATTGAAAAATATTTTGTTTTTTGATTTTCGCTATAAAGTTTTATAAATCTTATCTTATTTCTAAATTTGGAATATTTTAAATTTCCCATTGCCCATATTAAGACGGAAGGTATCATACCTTGACCCGTTAGCATTAAATGAAAAACGAATATTTTTTTATGTATGTAACATTAAAAAAGGAAATTAAATTTTTTCTTCAGTTTTCAGTTATGAAATGTATGCAATTAGCATTTCTTAAGCGTATATTATGTTCTGTATTTTTTACACTTTATTTGTTCATTTATATTTTTTTTTTTGAATAATAAGAAGATTTATTTATGCAAATTTTCCATCATTTCACGTTTGTTTAAACAAAATATTAATAATTGCTTACCTGATATTGTTGCTAAGTACTGTAGATAACGGGAGCCTCCAATATAATTCATTATTTAGTTTTTTCTACACTTTTAACGGACGAATTAATAATAAAAAATTTCCAAGCACCAGCGCACCGCTTACATCTCAAATATAACTTTTTGCCTACTGACTACTACGAACGAACAGCTGTTGTAGAAAACAAAAGTTCTCCAACCTGAAGCACAAAAAATACGACTGTATGTTTAAGTTTCAAGGCTGCCGTACACAGCACAGGCTTGAAATTATACGGGGTATATAAGTAGGACTTTGCTTGAAAAAATGGAAATCACTACTAAACACATTCGAAGTATAATATAATATTTTTTCTTATTTTACTAAAATTCATATTTACATACAGGGTGTTTCAAAAAGCATGTTCCATCTTTCGTGTAGAGGTTCCTCATGTAAAAATAGGATTTATTTTTCATATCAACATAGGTCCGATTCTGCTTTGTTTCGCTACAGCGGGTTATAATCTGATTTTTTTTCGATTTATTATAATTTTCTTCCGACCGCTTTTAGCGATTTGAATGAAATTTTGAAGGTAAAAGTTACTATAAGTGCTAGATATTTAAACGCTAAAAAAGTGTGGATAGATTTACCAGGGATGTGCATATGGGTTATCATTAGGATATTTTTCTAACAAAACATGTGCGCCACTGACTTTTTTACCTCTTGTTGGAAAAATTAAATTACTTAATGGGGAGGGCCGATTAAAAGTTATATCTAGATATATTATCCATTTCGATCTCCTCGATGCGATAAACGTATTTTTTTTAATTTTTTTAGTAAGAAATTAGTAAATGATTTATTTAATCTAATTTATAGTAATAAATTTATAAAAAAATATAAATTTATTACTATACAAATTATTAAAAATTTAATTGGCGCCAGGAGGCACGTATAGCCAAATCAAACCAAACCAAACCATACTAAAATATGTTAATAAAAAGTTGGTAGGCACTTTAGTTTCAAAGTAAGTAAAGGAATTTTTCCAATTTTGGTCCGTGGTTATTTCCCCTATCCGCCACCTGGGGTCGCGTCCGATGGGAGTTTGGAGTTCTCCACACGGATTTTCTCAAAAACGGACTACGGAAACACGGAATATCTCAAAAACTGCAACTTTGACTGATTTTGATGTTATTACAAATTTTGTTGCAAATATTATTCCTAATCTTAAATTGAAAACCGCGTTTCGCTAGCTACAGTAATTTTGGAGTTACGATTTTAAACGTAAAATTTAGAGACTTATAGTTTTTTACGTTAAAAATTATCGAATAGATCCGTCATCTGCCTTGAAACATTGTATTCTAGTAATTCGGCAGCAAAAACCATTCATTTATAAAATTCATTCATTTATCAAATTCATTTATTCGTCAGGATCGATTATAATAAAATATTAACTGGATTTTAGTTGTCGCCCGGCGACGTAGGTTTTTTTCCGAGAAACCCGACAGCGGTCGGTGGCAATGCTATGAAAGAAGCCGGCATCTTTGATTTTTTACGGAGTCAGATAAAAATAAGAACACATTATTTTTTTTTATTGAGGTGCTAGTATTTACACAGAAAATACATAATGAAGGGCGCTGTTACGATTTTTTTAAATTTCTAATCCCCTCCCATACCCCCTTACCAACCTCCCACCCCCACCAAAAACTAATGGCCAGATTCTCGGGTGCCACAGTATTTTTGTGCCAAATTTGGTTAAAATCGGTTTAGCGATTTTTGAGTTATCGTGTTACATACAGACAGTATCGTGTTACAGTTACAGACAGACAGACCTTGAAAATATTTTATATTTAGATCATTTATGATCCAAATAACTCATTTTGAGTGAAATTAAAAAAACTTTTTTTTTGCCGATCTTAATAGTCTACCATATCTGTTGATAATTAAAAAAGACCTATTTTTTAAAAGTTTTGACATCCTCTAACTTTAAAACTATGCATTTCCGAACCCATGTTTATATGACCTTTTTTTATATCTTTTGATGAGGAATCAATAAGTACTTACTTAACTTTTTGGCCCGGTTAATAACATTAATTTTTTTAAAGGTGACATTATTGTTTTTTTAAGTTCAAATAGCAATTATTAAGACAAATACATTAAATTGCGTTTATGTCATCCAGGAGACCGAAATTGACAAATTTTCAAGAGACAACGTTTAACCAGCAAAACGGTCTAAACTATTTTGCTAACAAGAAAAAAAAGTCAGTGACACTCATATTTTTTTAGGAAAAATTTTCAATGATAACCGAAATGGCACGACCCTGGTGAATATGTCCACATTTTTTTAGCATTAAAATATGTCGCATTTCTTGTAACTTTTACCCTCATAATATTCCGGAGTATTTAAAGTAAATTTTCTTAAAAGAAATTCGTAAACTTCTTATTATTACTCCTTCGCAATCTTTGTAAATTAAGTGAATATAAAAATTATTTCAAATAAGGGGTAAGTCTCAAAATAGGGGTAATGGGGGTAATTATTCAGGAAGTGTATTTTATTTAGTATTAGTACCTACTTAAATACTGCCACTATATATATCCCTCCCAAACTCAATATCTAAATGCGTCACTGTTTCAAATAAAGGATATTTTCTTTCCAACAATTCGTAGACAAATACAGTATGTATTAAAAACATTTTCGTTATGCGAAATATATATTATATATCTCGTGGATTTTTTTATAATGTCCAAATATACATACAACGGACACGGGTAAATGAATGATAGCTGATTATAACTGAATAAAAGTCCATATTTCGTCCACTGTTTATCACAATTTCAAATCGATGTTGAAAAATTAAAGTTTTTATCTTGATTTAAAGGTATGTTGAAGATAACATCACTGTCATAATATTTAAAAAATAGCACATATTATACCATCTTTCAAACACACCGTATGTTAAAAAATTAACCTTTAATCTTAAACTATTTCTAAATACTAATTTCGAAAAAAATTGTTCCTGCACATTATTTTCCCAATTTTACATACCACATACAATATAATCTTCTATAAATAAAAAAAAGAATTATAAGTATTGTTGAAGTAAGATTTTTCGAAGACATATTTTAAATCAGAAAATAGCACTTTTTTATAGTATTTCTTGAAAGGTAGGTAGTGTATAATATCATTACTACACACATGAATCCAATGTGAACAATATTCAGTTACAATCGTCATGTACCTGCTGCACTTTTTATACTCTCTATTTATGATAAAAAAATAATAATTTATATTAATAGTTTTTGAGCTATTCCGCATAACAACAATAGTTTTAAGGCAGGCTATATTTAGATATATGTTTGTATCTTTTTTTCAACATTTCCAGCTTTTTTTATTCATCCTGTATATTAGTTTTCTAGTCGTCTTCTAATAATTATATTGAGCCAACAGTAAGTTTTCGAAGAAATCATTTTTATTATTGTCAACAAATTGAAATTGAATGTGAATACATATGAGAATAATTCTTACTATTATTTTGTTTTATACTTTAATGATCAAGGTCTATCTATCGGATTATTATAGGAAAAGGGAGATAGATAAATTAATACCGATAGAAACATAGGATAGAAATATATAATTTTCCGAACGTCATAGATATAGTGTGACCAACGGATCTGTAGCTACGGGGTATCGGCAGGGGAACGCAGTTGTAAACAAAACACGCCCAATTTCATTCATAAAATAGGCATGGGCGTACGGTGTTATATGAAAATAATGTGTATCATAAATATAATACTCAGATTAATATTTTTTTTCAAAAAACTTTATGCTGTTTGAATCGTTACTGTTGAGTTAGCAGATAAACACTAAAAGCTTTTATTAAAGCTCCCTTAAATATTTTGAATCATTTTTTTATTGTGTTGTTAATATAATAGAAGAAATAATTACAGCTGGGGGTTGGAACCTTTGGTGTTACACAGCAAAATAAAACACTAAATCAGTACAATACACCAAAACACTTTTAATTTTACACTGGACGCACGTTTGGTTTGGCAGACAAACCATGTCTGCCATCAGCAGATGATCAAGACTGAGTCTTGAAGTATATTTATTTATATATCTGTATTAACTATATTTTTTTCTACAATACATAATTTTAGATATAACTATTTCCAGCAAAAAAAATCTTGAAAATAGTTAACTTTGAAAGCGCAAACAAAACATAATTTTACTCACCAGTAGATCCAATATTGCCTATTACACCAGATATGGTATCGCTCCGCCAGCACTTTTTAAAGGTTAGGTCATTGTCTACCCATGTTTCATCCAAATAGATAATACTTGGCTATATTTTCGAATTTCGCGTATATATTTATATCCCTCTCTGCAATATAATGGGCAGCTCCATTAATATTTATCTGTTATTTTGACATTTACGCCAAAAAAATTCATTTGATTTTAATAACCCCCTAAGCGTTTCCCTGCAAAAGGAAAACTCGATTCTTCCTGCAATTTTTGCAAAAGCTTTCTAATTGTGGGGACAAGTTTGAATTCGAGATAAAATCTATTTATCAAATTTCTGGCCACTTCGAAAAAGTCGTCGAGCTTTTCGACAGCAGTCTCACGTGGTCGTTTCTTTCCAGAGCTGGATATAATTTTATCGGGGTTAGTTTTCAGCCTTTTTTTATCTTCTGTGTGAATTTTTTTATAGCCGATACGCTAACTCCGGTATAAAGAAATATCCGCTCAAGTTTACGTTTAAGCGGCAACTTAAGCGAACTCTCTGTAGCTTCTTCATCGCAAACCCTATTATGAACACAAGGAAATAAACCAAATGAGATTTCATCCACGTTATTATTAACTTACCTATATAAATTAGCTATTATTTCTCTTGTCTGACTATGTAACATCTTACCCTTAACAAATTTATTCATTTTAAAACACAAATATACGATCAAACTTGATATTAATAATTAAAAACTACGAACGAAAAACATTATAACAAGATAACAAAACAATAAAACACAACTTAACTATCAAATATACGAAAAATATAGGAATAAAGTTTAGGATAACCGGTATAAAATAATGAAATAAAGTAATAATGATCAAAAAAATGACACCGCCACTGGATATTTCAATAGTATTCAATATTCCTACTCTTTTCAGAAGAGAGATCGTGAAGTTGGGGATAAAGCAAGCGAATAGGAAAGGCGTAAAAGCCATGGCAACCGCGTGGTAACAAATCCTGTGACGTACTCTCGCCAATCCTGTTCGATGAATAGGCGGCCATGCGCGGCGATGCCGGTTTGCCAA